TTCGTCCCGTGTTATTTTCGCCTTTCAACACTTGCAAACAATTTTGCCCCATTTTAAATTCGCCCAGTGACAGTTCTGTTTAAGAAATAATACTGTGTTTTTTTGAATTTGCCCCGTTTTAAATTCACCCGTGAGTAGGGCAAATGGGGTGAAAATAAAACGGGGGCGAAAATTTCCCTGCATACACTTCCTTAAACTTTGAAAATGGGGCAAAATGTGAAATGTGATGTGAAATGCCAGATATTACATGTGCTACATTCCATGGCCGTCCAAAAGCTAGGGAATAAAAACTTTCATTATTGAAAGACCACACACAAACTGTTCCAGTAAACATGTGACACTTGCTAGACAATCATACTTTTGTAAGGAATGAAATCCATTTCATTCTACATGTGTTGATACCTTTGCTTATTTACCTCAGTCAATATGGATAGAAAGGAAAATTAAGTTAAAATACTTTTGTATATTTTCCCCTTTCTCCATATTGACTGAGGTTTAGATTTTTTTAAGCAGGTAGGTTAGGTTTCTCATAAAATATCTTAGTGCACTTCTCTACTGCTAGTATGTAGGACATTATATTTGATTGTGGCTTAATTGTCCCAAGAACTATTTAGGTAAAATACAAGTACTATTATACAATGAACAAAAAATAAATAATAATTGTGTTTATCCCTTGTGCTGAAGTGATTAATGTGCAACACTTGAAAAATTATAATTGACCAACTGATCAACAAAGGTTAATAGTATTACAGTCAAACCTCTTTATCTCAAACTCAACAGGATAAAGATTAAAATTCAAGATATGCAAGAATTCAAGATAACAAAGGTAAATAAATTTAAGAAAGAGTAGTTGGGACTGCCAATGCATTTTGACATACCCTGATATTTGAGATATCAGTATTCAAGATAACAAAGTTCAACTGTATATTGCTGAGAAAACTGGGCTCTTAGCAAATCCGCTGTACTTAAGTACCTTGCTTAAAATTTAAAATACAACTAAACTCACAATCTAATGTTATGTTTAGAATGAATTTTAAAGTTTCAGGAAGTCTTTATGCCCCTGTAATTGAAGATTCCGGGGTATATACACTTTTTTTTTTGCCTTGTCTGTCTGTCTGTCTATTTGTCCACAAAAACTTTAACCTTGCCCATAACTTTTGATTGGTTAAAGCTATGGCTTTCATATTTCACATGTGTATTCCTTGTGACAAAACCTTCCTTTGGATACCAACATATTTGACCTCTTGACCTTCACGTTTGACCTACTTTTGCAAATCTTTAACCTTGGCCATTGCTTTTGAATAGTGGGTGCTCGGGTTTTCATATATCATGTGTATTCATTGTAACAAGACCTTTTCATGAGCGTAAATATTTTTGACCTTGACCTTTGAGTTTGACCCACTTTTAAAACAAGAGGCCCATGGGCCACAATGCTCACCTGTGTAACTTTGGTCTTGCTGTTTTTCACCTGATTTCCCCCTTTGTAATACCTTTTGTGGCCCCGCCTTACTCCCTGGGGTCATGATTTGAATAATTTAGAAAAGGCACTACCTCAGGATGCTTCCATATAAGTTTCAGCTTTTCTAACCCAGTAGTTCTTGAGAAGAAGATTTTTAAAGAATTTTTCTACATGTTTCAATGTAAAACTTGGATGCCCTATTGTGACCCCACCCTACCCCCCAATGTCATGATTTGAACAATTTAGAATCTACACTTCCCCAGAATGCTTTCCATAAGTTCCAGGTTTTCTGGCCCAGTGGTTCTTGAGAAGAAGATTTTTTAATGACCCCACCCTATTTTTATCTTTTCTTGTTTATCTCCCCCTCAAAGGGGGCTTGGCCCTTCATTTTAACAATTTAAACTCCCCTTTACCCAAGGATGCTTTGTACCAACTTTGGTTAAAATTGGACCAGTGATTCTTCAGAAGAAGTTGAAAATGTGAAAAGTTTACAGACGGACTTACGGACAATGGGTGATCAGAAAAGCTCACTTGAGCTTTCAGCTCAGGTGAGCTAAAAACTTTAACCTTGGCCATAACTTTTGAACAGTAAGTACTACATTGTAGGGCTTAAAAAATTCACAGGTATATTTCTTGTGACAAGACTTTCTTTTGCAAACAAACAATTTTGACCTTGACCTTAGAGTTTGACCTACTTTTGAAAAAACTTTAACCTTTGCCATAACTTTTGAACAGTTGATGCTAGGGCTTTTATATTTTGTAAGTGTATTTCTTATGCCAAGGGCTTCCTCTGAGCACCATAATTTTGACCTTGACCTTGGAGTTTGACCTTCTTTTGAAACTTTGACCTTCACCATAACTTTTGAACAGTTGGTGCTAGGGCTTTTATATTTTGCAAGGTATTTCTTATGGCAAGGGCTTCCCCTGCACCATTAATTTTGACCTTTTGACCTTGGAGTTTGACCTTCTTTAGAAAAACTTTAACCTTTGCCATAAGTTTTGAATAGTTGGTGCTAGGGCTTTTATATTTTGCATATGTATTTCTTATGACAAAGTCTTCCCCTGCATACCATTAATTTTGACCCTTTGACCTTGGAGTTTGACCCACTTTTAGAAAACATTAACCTTGACCATAACTTTTGAATGGTTGGTGCTTGGGCTTTCATATTTACCAGGTATATCCATTGACACAAGTCCTTTCTTTAGGTAACGATATTTTTCACCTCTTGACCTTGGAGTTTGACTTGCATTTGAGAAACTTGAACCTTCGCCATAAACTGTCATACAGGGGCATCAGCGTCTTGTCACTATTAGCTGTGCAATGTTCAGAAATACCAATGGCATCAATTTTTTATCACTGACATACATGTTAAGTTGTACATCTCAACATTTTGAAAATATCAGCTGCGAATAATGAAGTGGTTTCTGATATGCAAGGTTCATAAAGAAAAAAAATTGAATTCAGAAGGGTGAATTGGAATCCCAGGGTGTGGTCTCTTTAAGTTTTATACAAAGGAACATCAAGCTTTAAATATTGAATGCATTTTCTGAAGAAAAAAAAAACTTTAACTAAAAATTAATTAACCATGGCCTAACATTTTGAATAAACCTACTGTTCTTGTCTTCCAATACTCATTTCTGTGCATTTAAAAATGCTTTTAGCTTAAAAGTTTTCATATTACAGAATTTCAGATTCCATATCGTTAATCTATCCCTTAATTAGCATCTATTATCATTGATTTTTTCCTACTTCAGACAGGAAATAAATGATCTTCATCACAGTCAGACAGAAACATTTGTTTATAAGGCAGTAACCCTGGTTGTATTAATTCTTCCAACTTTCCTGAGATTTTATTGCCTAGACACATAAATACCTATTTAGGAATAAACAATAACAGCTGAACTTACTTAACTTCATTTCACAGATCTGTTCATTTTTATGAGTTTACATTTACGGAGATCATTAATAAGATCTTTACTTATATGATTCTGAAGCCCTTGAAGGACAGAATTGTGGTTTCCTTGTATATTTTCTCTCCAAATGTAATTTAAAAAGGGCAAAAATCTGATAAATGAAAAGGAAACATCTAGGAAAAGGTCTTCTATATTAATGCTGATGCCAGATGGTCTACGCTACCAAGGTTTATAAATGGATGTTCCATAATGGCGAACTAAGCTCTCAGACAGAGCATACACCTGCTCACTTGAATAAAAATTTTCTGCAATTATGAAAATGGTGGAGATAAAAAAGTAATCCCAGCAAATTAAGTATACCATATGAGGCAAAATTTGAAATTATTGTTGAAGATGAAGATTTTACAAATGGAAACAGTGAATTAAACAAAATAATGGACAAATCTCTCTTAGCAGATTAAGGGGTCACTATTCCCTATATGTAACATTTCATGCTTTTCTCCAATTTCTGTTAAGTCTCCTTCATCATCAAGCTTTATAGAGCAGCTTCAGATTTCAATAAACTGCTCATTTAATTTTTTTTTAATAAATTTAACCCATCTATCTATCTTTTATCTGACTGATCTGTCTTTGTCACAATAATCACAGAAAGATTCATGTTTTTTACAACTTTTCATGGCGAGTTTTAATGACTGTAAAATTTCCTTGATGAGAGTCATAACAGGTGTAACATAAAGGTTGGCACTTGTAATTTTGCTGAATTGAGTAACTAAAATTGACTCGGTCTGTCATTAGTTGTCTTGACTTATGGCTATGCAGCTCAAGAACATCAATACCTACTCCCAACCAAAATAGTCTGGGACCATCTGTCTTAAACACAACTTGAGAAATATTTTTTTCTGAAGTTTTTTTTTTTAATCATTGCATACTCTAAACAATTTGACAACTGAAAAGATAATTGTGCAAGTGTTACATAAAACTCTTTACACACAAGATTTATACTCATTCATTGACTGAAAACATGCAAGTATGCAGAATTAAATAATAACAAAAGTATTGCAACTGTTATCAAATATACAGTCAAACCTCATTATCTCAAACTCAATTGGGCTGAGAAAAAAAAACTTCAAGATATCCAAGGGTTTGAAATATTGAAGTTAAAAGTGACTGGGACGTTCAAATTATTTGGACAAATCTATGGTATTTAAGATAATGATGTTCAAGATACTGAGGTTCAACTGTACTTGCTGATGAGTATCATGCTTAACTGAAGTCTGTAATACTGTCATTGCAAAAATGCACATGCAAGTATACAAAAGTTTACAATAACTCAGTACATTTAATAATGATGAAAATGTTAGTTATGGGAGATCTCATATGGAATCACTTGTGAATGGTCTTCATACAGACTGAAACTTTGAACAATGGACCTCAAAATGAATTTCTTTCATGAACACATACATGTATGTTATGTTTTCTCCATGAAAATACTTCATATTTGACAAAATCATTGATTTTATATATATATATATATATATATATATATATATATATATATATATATATATATATATATATATATATATATATATATATATATATATAAATAAAGAAATGTATCCCAATTTTTGTTTAAAAATTTGTCAAAGACCAGATTTGGTGTGTGATTTGTAAGTGGATCTAGACAGGTGTAATTTTGTGACTAGATTTTTGGGACTCGACACCCTGAGAAGAACTTGTGTATTTAGGTGTATTGCTTTTCTTTACTAAATCCTCAACTGGCTGAGTGCCATCGTCATTTCCATGAATTGAGTTTACTGAATGATGGGAATTGCACTTTGGGGAATTTGATTCATGTGATCTGTCAGGAAACACATTTGAATTGTGATCACTCTCACTAGGGTCTTTTTCTTGGTCAATTTTTTTCTGTCTTGACAGTCTTTCTCTCCTCTGAGCAGTATCACTTCTTTTTATTTCAGGTCGTTTCTCTAATAGTTTTGTTTCTTCTCTATTCTCAGAGTTTGGAACAAATATAGAGTACCCTTTGTTAGAGACTGTGGAGTCTTGATCCTCTGGCAGGAGTTGCTGTAATTCCGCTTGTTCCTGGGAATTCCCCAGAAGGTCTTCTGATTCTTCTCTCCCCTGGTGACTTGATCCATCTGAAGAGAGGGACTGAACTTCTGGTTCTAGAAGCTGATCATCACCAACAGAAATCTCTTCGTGCTGAAGAAAATCTTCACTTTTATTTGTATTTTCATCTGATTTACTCATTGAATTCATTTTTTCCAAATAGTCATCCATGAAGTTTGACATACTTCCTTCCACAGGAAACCCACTGGAACTTGGGAAGGCCTGGGTTTCATTAGAATCTTGATATGTTAGATTTGTGGGTTTTGTTCCTAGCTCCACTAATTCATCCACAGAACTTTGGGTTGAAGTCTGTGTTGAGCTATGTTTGGCAGATTTAGAGTAATCACTAGATTTTGTTGACCTCTTTTTCAGCATTTTGCCCTTTTTCACAGAGGGTGAGTTAGTGCGTGAACAAGCACCTTGCGAGTTAGAAGTGGGTATAGAAATAGCTGAGTCTGACTGACTTCGTTTGACCTGAGACTTGGTCGAGTCAGGACTAGATGTCTCAGTATCTAACGAGTCACACTGATAATTGTCAGTATCTCGAGGCAATGTGATTACTTTAGAAGAGCGATGGTTCTCCATATCAAAGGTATTCACTGCCATGTAGTAGCTGGGTGTGTGCACAAGATTACTCATGTCATTAAACTCAGTTTCTATGGATTCATCTTTCAAAGAATCTCCTTCATGATTAATCAGTCTGATGTTCTCAAGGGGAACTTTAACACTAGTCTCATTAATCTTTTCATGCACATGCAGAGCATAAGAAGGTTTTTTAGACATGCAAGGGATTAAGCAGGAAAGTGCATGAGCGAAACGGTTAGCAAAGCTTTTACGATTCCACGAGCGTACATATGGACCTACATCATCCACCAACTGAATCTCTGCCCGCCCATTACTTGTGGTAACCATGGTGTCTACAGGAGCTGGAATCTGACTGCAGACATTACAGTTCTCTTTTCCCTGTCTAGACACACGTGTGGACGTGTCTGTGCTCTCTATGTCTACAGACTTTTTCTCCTCCTTTTGGTCACCATGAGGCCTTGGACCATTTTTAAAGAAATCGCTGTGCAGAGAAAGAAATGTACAACATATAGACGACAGAGAAAATAAAATGTTGAATATATTTAATGGGAGTACCAATCCTATGTATCGAAAAAACATATTTATACTGAAAATGCTTGTTGCTTATTTATGTTTACAAGAAACTTATATTTTTACACCCAGTACCAAAAAGTAATTCATTATTAACTGGATATAATGAATAATAGGTATAACAAAGAAATTTCAGCCATTCCTGGTAATTCACTGTATATGGGCTTACTTTATCATTAAGAGATTTCACTTTGTATTATTTATACCTACTTAATTTATTAGGTACGTGATTTTAGATTTATAAATGTAATATTCAATATTTCAAAAAAATACAGTTTCATTATATCATATAGAGAATATATTTGTAAAATTTCATGAGGAAGAGAATTTTGTTTAATATCACTTCAGGACCTCCCCCACCCCCTTCCCAAGATATTTAATTTTTACTATTTAACTTTATCAAATTTTGTTTAAATCTTTGGATAACTTTCAATTTCAATAATATCTTTAAATAGTAAATCCAGAGCAATCTTATTACAGTCAAACCTCATTATCTCAAACTCAATAGGACCGAGAAAAAGTTTGAGATATCTGAGGATTTGAGATATCAAGGCTAAAATACTTTATGAATAAGTGTTTGGGACTTCCAAATCACTTCAACATATCCATGGTATTCGAGATATCAGTGTTCAAGATACTGAAGTTCAACTGTATATCTAATTTTTTATTGCATTATTTTAGGGGGGAAGGGGGGTGGGGTGATATTCCCATTAAATTTAAATGAAACATGAGGTACGTATCAGACAGTAATAAAATTAAAGAAATTTTGTATTCAAATGATTTGTACTTAAAAACTACGAAAAAACATAAACACTAAGAAAATAAGAAGACAGAGCTGCAGAATGGGCAGCCACTAACACAGAAATTAACACATTACAACAGCAATACCTCATATGGTACAGAGCCAGGGCCACAAACACAATGAATAATGTCCCAGCTGCTACCACTGCATACATCCAGTAGTTAGTGACTGAAAGTTATAAAATTATAGCATACATTATTTAAATCGCTTAATTTAAATGCAGTTTACTTAAAATTACTATTCTGAGTCATTGTTTAATTTTTTTAAACGTAAAATTTTCATGAACTTTTATTTTGTTATTCTCATAAGAGGATTTTTTATTTCCATATCACATGATAACATAGTATATAATGTAGGGATTTATAACGTGAAACCCAGGATAAAGTGAATTTTACCTATTTCCTCTTCCTCAGTTTTCTGTGCCCCTGTCTGAAGCGTGTCATTCTGCATGATACATGCCACCACTAGACCCAGGGCATTGGTGACGGGGGTGAAGTCTGGCTCGCATCCACAGATATTTGTGTCATTGCAGATCATTTGTGGCCCAGTACAAGGGGGGTCACAGGACAGAACTGTAGGGGGGCGGGCAGACTCTACACAGGCCGCTAAAAAGAAAACAAATAAAGTGTACAAAATACCCCGGTAGACGACATCCATAATGTTAACAAAAGAACCCCCCCCCCCCCCCCCCCAAATTCCCCCTTTTAAAGTCTCATGTTTAAATGAAAAAGACAGTAGTCTTGTGATGGTAAAAAAATAAGTTCACAGAGTATACAATCTACATATGTAAGTGTATTAACCTGAATAATTTGCCTGCATCCACCTCATGGCCTAAATGAAAATTTACTTTATTGTGGCAAAAGAAAAATCTGCATTAACTCTCAACACAATGTGGCATTACAAAATAAACTACCATTTAAAAAAAAAAATCTTAATAATATTTACTACAATGCATCTACTTTGCTCTTCTTGAGGATAAGAAATAAATTCTTAAAATCCTTTTTAAAATACTGTAGATTAATCAAGCCAATTATGTCAATCATATCCTTTCTCTCTAACTTTCCTTTGCTCTCACTCTCTCTCTATATAGATGTATATATGTATATGTATGAACCACCAAAATTTCTGGATAAGAAAAGACATTTACACAAAGTCTTACCCATTTTCTTGTAATCCACTATTCACCATAAGGAAAATTTGTCCATAAAATACAAAAAACAATCACAATAACTGAAACGAAGAAGAGACAGAACTCCTCCACAAGATAGACATGTCGTCATTAATTGTACCCTGTCTATTACCACTCTTCCTGAATCTTTAATGAAAAAAAACCCAAACCATATCAACCTCTGATTGTATGCGGAGACACAAAATGAAAAAGTCAATCCTCTCTTAAGATCAATGAAAACAAGCCATTAACTACATTGGCTTGCTTTAGTATCAAATAAAGGACATCTGAACTGTAGTATAGGAATCTAATTAAAGTATGATAGATCTAATTGTGTCGGCTAAAAAACATGTTAGTGTAGAGCTGCACATCTGTTTTGTAGTCACTATTGATAAATCAACGGTTATCCCATGGGCATCTTACATGGCCTTTGATACCTAGTTGTATCTGTAGCGTAACTAATTCTACACTTTAAAGAATCAAAAATCAAAGGACTGGTATTAAAGTGAAGTACAAAATACTACATATTTTATTAATTAAACAGCATTTCTTTTCCTTGATCTCCTGGAATTTTTCAAGAAAAATAATGCAATTTTGGTCATTCAAATTAAATAAAATTCTGAGAACAAAGTCAATTCTTAATCATGGAGAAGTTTGCTGGCTAACAAGGAAGACTGAGCTAACATCAAGAGGAATACCTATACATGTAAAGTGACTTTTACCTGGTAAGTGATTGTTAAATAAGAGAACACTGTATAATGCAGGTCAAGAGGAAATTAAACAACAGTTTGTTACCTTTTTTTCAGTGCTACATGGCATCAACTGTATGTAAACCACCATACAATCCTTTTCATTTCTGAGTCTAGACAATTTTGTTTTTACATTTATGAGCTGTTACCCTGTGGTTCTGTGCAGGCTGTGGCCAATATAATAACACCACAGACTCATCAATAAAAAGATGGCAACTGCCCAAGTAAGCTTAATGGGAGTCAGGAACAAGACTGGTAAAATAATTTAATTTCCATTTACTATAATGACACTTTTTTTTTAAAGATTGAAATATATTGCATTATATTTTAAAATTTGGAAATTTGGAAGGAAAAAAAATTACCCCAAGTTTAAGAAATGTTTGTCATATATATATGTTTTATTTTAAATAACAGCATTTTATCAATTTCTTCATTTTAAAAATATCCAGAGACAGAAAGAATTCTCTAGTCTGTCATCTCAGCATTTTATCGAAATTGATTGAAAGACAATGATTTTTTTTTAAAACCATCACGAATCAAATGTTAAATGTATCTTCCTTAAAAAATCTAAGTTTGAGATAAGTGCATGAAGAAAAGGTTTCCTTATTTGACAAGATCGAATCCCATGGGTTAAATTCAGTGGATTAATTTTCATAAGTCTATGGAAAACTATTTTTTTTTGCAATTATTTACTGGCAACGCTGACACCAAACTGTCCCTTAAACACAGAGGTCTACCAAAACAATGGAAAAATACCACATTTCTGCAACAGTCAATGCAGAAGTCCATGAAAATTTAATAATGCTAACACTAGGAGATAGATTTTCAGAAAAAGTCTGGCTCATCGTAAATATAAACATACTTAAACCAGTGACATATTTCATTTTTATTCCTAAAAGGCTTATAAATGCGAAAACAAAAACAGCATTTCACCTGAAACAATTATTTAGCTATGATATACTTTATAATCTATTCCACAGAGTAATAGCATTCGAGATAGTGTGACATTTTTCTGATTATGGTGTGCAATTTTAGGATTGCTATTCTGAATTGCTTTATCTTGACTTGATTTTTTTTCCAAATACATGTTATCAGAATATTTTGAAAAGCAAAAGATAATTCCAAACAGTTTTTCTCTCTAGCATACATTATCTTCCAATTTAATATACCATATTCTAAAATCTCTGTTTTCATTAAAATCTGGTGAATGTCACTTGTTTCTATTTTGTTCTCACTGATGCCAAAACGACCAAAAAAGATGCCTTCTCCTGATGATAAATCAGAACATCATGGAAATGTATTCTACTGAAACATACTATAATCTGCTAAACATTTTCCCTTAACGATTGAGTTCAAAATCAAATGTTTAAGAATTTCATTCCATGCCATTGTTCCTGATTGTAATTAACCCTCCAATACAAAACTTTCTATATAACTTACCCTCATTTACTCTAATTCCGTAAGTTGTCTGACAGGAAACCTCTCGCATATCTTCATACCAAGGGGAGGCAACCCATACAAATTCTGTACACTCCATTGCAGGACAAGCTTTAGCTTCCCACAGCTTTTCATTACAGGGTTGAAGTCTGCTTTGGGAAATGATGGCTCGGGATCGACTGGTTCGCCCCAGTGTAGTTCCTATATATAGACTCAAAATATTTAATACTTGAAGCACTTAACAACGATGGATCTAATTCATTTTTGCAATAGATTTTTTATTCAAATTTTAATATGAGGTAAAGTGACTTTTGGTGAGTTGAAATCAATAAAAAAAATCATATGGTCATCAATGTAGATTTTTAATGGAGAGCGTTTCAAAAGTTGTTGATGGAAATCGATAATTACAGTAACTATAGGAAGTAATGGGGAATTGCCAGTGTAGGGTATAAGAGTGATCCTTGAAAAAATTTCTGCAATAGAATTTTTATTCATCTTAAAAGACAATGTTAACTAGACAATTTACCAGCAAATTATGCCAAAAAATAAATGGGTCATCAGCTTAGATTTTTCAGGAGGGGGCATGTCAAACTCAGGTGTAGGGCACATTTTGGGTTAAATTTTCAATGAAAATACCTTGGCCAAATGAATCATTAATTTATAAAATCAACAATTGAATATAAATCGAAATATTTACAATATTTTTGAGTTTGAATATCTTCAAAAGAATTAAAAATATATATTTTTTATCTTCTGCAATACATAATTAAGTCAATTTGATTCAAGGCATATGCACGGTTTTCTGCCCAGTGGAGCGAAATTTTGAATTAGGTCCGTCGTCCTTAAAGCACAAACACAAAAACCAAATAAAGCTTTATTTTCTATGCATTTTAATACTGATTTTGCATAAAGTTGAAAAGTGTGAAAATAACAAGCTAGTAAATTCAATTGAAATAATACTAAAAATTGCAGAACTGAAAAGGGAGTAAAACTACTTTTGTTTAGAGAATGTGAAAATAACCATTTAAGCAAAATCAAAGTAGAATATACAGGAATAGCCAAAGTGGTGAAAAAAGTTGTCTATGAGTCTGCTTATAGACTTACCAATAGCATAGTCAGCACAATTAATGAAGCACTTGCTCCACTCCGACCATTCAGTGTATGCACATTCCCATGGACACAGAACCTTACATTTTTGTTCACTCTGTCAGAAAAGAAAAAAAAAAACATAAAATTTTTTTTTTCTAACAATCAAAAAATAAAAAGCTTAATATTTTCAAATGCTTAAACATAACATTGTTAGTCTAGACTTTATACAATATATAAACTTAAAACACAAAGCATTTTAACCCCTTCTTGGAAAAATTTAATAGTGTCCAATTCAAAAAGTGAACAATTCTATACAAGAATTAATAGAGTGTGTAACTAAAATATTTCAGCTAAAGGCTGAAATGAATAAACCATGGATTATCTACCTTGAGGACCAGGATGTCAAGGTCAGGAGGACACTTTTCAGGGTCAGCTGGCAGTCCATCGTCCCCCAAGCATGAAACATTTCTTGTCTGTACACCAGCTCCACACATAAATTTCTACAAAAAAATCAGTAATAATATAGTTAAAGCTTAATTTAACTGGAATGAAATGAAAATGATGTATTTATGTTTGTGTGCTTTTTTCCTCATGTAATTACTAGGGAACAGATAAAAAAAATAATAGATCTTGGTACTGTGGAATAATTTTAATTCATGGGAGTCGATGTTCCTGGATAAGCAAAATTCTATTGGTTCATGGGGATGTTATTTCCTGTGTAACTTGTATATACAAAAGAATCAATGATCAAATTTGTTTAAATAAATTGTTTGTCGGAATGTAAATTCATGGGTAAGGGTAACCCACATACACTGGTCCCCCCCCCCCCCCCCCCCCAAAAAAAACAATGATGATTTTACAGCATTCTTTTTAAAGTACAAACATTCCTACAAATATTCTTTAGAAATAATTATTCAAGAGTTCTTCAATGGGCAGGATACCAGAGAACTTGAAAGAACAGGATTCATTTTAGTGCACAGTAATTATTTTGCTTATTCAAAATCACTGCTGAAATATAATATTACATTGTACATTAAAACAAAGTGTAAATACTTTTTGCTCTAAATAAGATGTATAACCTGTATTTCTAAAGAGGCTGAAATAAGTACATGTACAAATACAAGCATTTCATTTATGAAGCAGATCTTTAGTACAAGTTCATCCCGAATTATTCCATTTTCCCATTTCCACTATATGTGTCATCACTTTCATGCAGTGATTCCTTTTTTGTTTCTCTAATATGATAGAGAACATATATTATGAAGTCCTGTTGTGCTATGTAATATCTGTGTGTTTCATGCAGTAATAATGTTTGGATAGTTTTGAAGAATTTTAGTAAAGGGAGAAAAAGGTTCCATAATGTGTGCTTGTTTGATACCATTTTTCTCCATCTCTCATTCCTTAACTTTTTAATTGTCAATAGACAACAAGCCTTGTGTCTACTGACAATTAAACAGTTAAAAACTCAAGTTGGAGAAAATAGGTAAGCAACTCACACAACTTATGGAATCTATATTTCCATGCTTAACTGACCTGAGGCATGCAGGGAGACCAGTCAGAGATGTTCCAGCGATAACAGCCTTTGGGGTAACAAGGTTTTGACTGTACAAGGTCAGAAGGACATTTACGGCCATTTCCTGTGTACTGCTCCACTATGACCCGCTCCCGAGTACTCTTACCTAAAATATCAATCAAATGTAAGACTATAAAGTGAAGGAGTAATCATCTAAAAATCATTTAAAATTCAAAAAATTCAGTTTATGAAAAAAATGTGCATGCATGTGGATACTGAAACTTTACTTGGTATTTTAATCTTGTTCAATTAACTTGGAATAAAGGACTGATTACCTAGTCCACAAGTCTGACTACAAGTTGACCATTGGGACCATTCAGACACCAGACAATCCACATCACATGGGACTTCACATCTTTTCATCCTCTCACTCTGGTCTGGGGGGCCAATAATCTACAATGTATTTAGGCTTACATACAACATGTATATAAACAATCTATTCAAATCAGATGTTGTAAAACATTCAAATATTGTATTTCTGCTATCCAAATAATCATTATGTGAACCTGATGAAGATCTCTGAGAGTTCTGAAGAAATATGAATGTAACTATAGACCTCATGTCTTGCAATTTTTTTTCATATAAAGAGTTCAACAACTCCATGCCTTTCATCAACATGCACAGTATTTACCTTGTTACAAATGCGGTCGTCGACATCTTCCTCATTATGAGTTCTACACACGGGGAACCTCTCCTGAAGCCCCACCCCACAGTCGTCCTGGCCGTTATTAATGAGACAGGAAGTCCACGGCATCCATTCCCAGTGGTAGTCTACACAGTTAATGTCCTTGACACAGTCCTTGTACTGCTCCGTCTCACCACATCGGGAGTGGTACATGCTGGCATGACGCATAATCTTACGAGATCGGGACTGTCTGTACATACTATTTAAACAGGGCTGAAATATTTTAAATTCTAATCAAAATACATATACAGTTATCCCAATTCTTCTTGTTGAGAATATATTTTAAAATATGAGCAATGAAATAAAGTACACTGACTTTTTTAAAATGTTTTTTTATGGATCTAATTTTAAGTTCAGGAAATATAACAATATAAAATAGTAAATTAACTTTTTTGTAAGTTATAAATGCATTACACTGTAGCTGTTCTAAGAGGGACTGGACCAATCTACTTCAGATTAAGAAAAACTTACCCTGGGGCAGTCTGTCCACTCTGTCCAGTCTGACATAACACACTCCCCTATACAGGCCATCCTACAAGGCTGTTCACTGTGAGGCTTGACCTGTCCGGCACAGTTCTCCTCTGTAGTTATACCTGTGGTGTCTCCATTCACGTTAATGGTTACACAGTGAACCACCCTCTGCTGGGTCCCGTCCCCACAGGTGTGACTGTTGCTGTTACACATGCTCCATTCATAAGCCTTCCATATGTACTGTGAACACTCAGGGTGACAGAGTCTGGTCTGTGTTTCTGTCTGTGTGCTGTCCAGGCTTGGGCACTGTCGACCTCCTGCTGAATTTAACTGCTCTATGTAGCGGGACCGTTTCTGAATGCCTGGTCGACACTTGGAGGGGCATTTTGACCATGAGCTCCATTCTGCCATTTTGCAGTCATTAGGACATGGTATATTACAATGTTTAACTTCCAAACTCACTGTCAAAAAAATAAACCTATGTGAAAATTTGGATAAACTAGAAAAAAAGGCAAACCAAGCATTAGTCTGATAATAATGATCATGTATTCTAAAGACAAGAAACCAATAATCAGCTTATAATTTAATCTCATATAAATCACATATCTTTGAGCGAAATAACTATTGTACATGTATTTTTTGCTCAATTTCATTTTTACCTGCTTCTGTACATCTCCTGAGACTGGTTGCCACAGAGCTGGTCTGGCAAGCGACATAGCGAATCTTCTGACCCCACCCACAGATTACTCCCTCATCTTTAGAAGGCTCTCTATTTTCTCTTTTCCTGATTTTTAATGATTCATGTACATTCAATGACATACGGTTTAATGTCAAATAAGCAAGGCAAGGAATTAGAAACAAATACTTAGTTTAAGTTCAATCTTTTAACATCAGTGACTCTATACTTGAATCTTGGTGAAATGTCAATACTCCTAACAAAATTACCTTTGTAAAACAGTGTACTGTTTACACAAGTATTGCTTCTTTTGAAATTATGCAATGATAAATTCTTCACGAACATTTAGGAATCTACAGTATTATCCTGTGAAGATTCTGGAAAATACGTACGATGAGGATATAGGTCTGAGGAGTCCTGATGGGGATTTGGGAGGATCCAGGATGCACTCTGAGAAGTCTGCTGGTAACTCCTGGGTGATTCTGTCACACAGACACACATCCTGTTCATAGCGAGGATACCTCTTCAAATCACTACATTCTGGTGGTGCATTTCCCCCAACTGCAAATTTGAAAAATAATGCAAAAACCAAAGTTTTCTTCTCTTGAAACTTCTCAAAATATGATCTAAGAATTTTTAAGCAATAAGTTTACCATTTTTCTGAATCATTAAGGGAAAAGATCCTTAATTAGTTCAAGTTTTATCAAAGTTTTTTCACAATTTTAGATTTGTGCAAAACCAAGTTGGATATACTGTTTAAAACCTGACCTACCTTTTGGTCTCCTTTGTCTAAATCTTTTACTTCCACAACCCTGTAGACAATCTGACCAAGCTGTCCAATCAGTGAACAGGCATTCGTCTTCACAGGCGACATAACACGGCTCAGCTACAGCCGGCATCTGACCCACACTGGTTAAACAGTTACCTATAGGACTCACTGTACCATCGTTTTGCTGACAGGTCACATCTGAAAATGACATTACAATAAAGTACCTGTTAAGGTAAATAGTCCTTGTGAAAATCAAGAAGATACAGTCAAACCTGTATTAAGTAGTAATGAACTTGAGGAAATTTCTAAACTCTCTTCAGAGAGATGCTCTTTAAATGTAGATTAAACTGTACAATAATCATTCTAATGTTAGTGTAGTTCTTATACCAGGGGTATACAGTATAATATTTACTCCCAAAATTTAAGTATTAAAGAGATTTTTTTCTATATCTGGTCATACATCATACACATCTCCTGTTTTTGTATAAAACTGTATTATGTATCATAAAAAATATTTAACATACTGATACTATACACCTTGTCCACTGCATGTCAAAAAATAAAACCCTCATTTGATGGGCCAAACTTTAAACATCTGTTTTCCATTATATCAAGTGATTTAAAATTTTAAAACATGTATATTCATTAACCTACATTTAAAGCATGTATGTTTTGTGACAAGCATATAAAAAAATAGGTTAGTTCATCTTTCATTTTAAATTAAGACCCTAAGTCTCTGGTAAATGCACTTACTCCTGGCCTTTAATCCCCTGCCACACTTTTCCTTCCTGTGTAGGATACACTCACTCCATTCGGTCTTGTTCCATTGGTATTGGTTACAAACTGGGAGGTCAAAACACACCTTGATCTCCTTCAGCAAGTTGGGGCACAGTGCCCCACCATTTTTGGGGTGGATCAGGATATAGCGTTGGCGACTTTTTGATGGATTGGCAGCAGTGTTGGCTGAAATTAATCAAAAATAAGAGAAAGTGTTGGATTTTCTATTTGAATTTTTTGAGCTAAGATGCAGTCATGAAACATACCTTTGACGTATTGCATGTTCTGCCTTATAAATGCAATCTTGAACATTTTTTGGATAGTTTTATTATCCAAGAGAGGTAACAGTAAGAGAGATTGTTACTTACCTGAAGTACAGGTGGCAGAGCATTCTGACCAGGCAGACCACACTGAGACTTTACAGTTCTCTGGACATGGCACTACACACACCTGTCTGGCTGAAGGCTTAACTTCCATGGCACACCTGATATAGTAATGGAAAATTCCCATCATCTCAAATAAGATTCATTACAGTACATTCTGATACTACTTCATCAGAACTGATAGCTTAAATATGACAAATTAAAAACCAGTGTTTGAAACTCATGGTAGAATTAGTTAGGCATTCAGGGCTGACTGCTACTGAAAGTTGTCAGCCCTGCAAAAACTCTACTAGCCCTGCCAAAACTCTACTAGCACGAGAAAATTAGAGTCTTTTATAAATTTATTTTTTAAAAAAGATGGGGCACGATCACCATAACTTCCATCCCGAATCTATAGGGTGTTGAATTCTATCCCTTTGCTTGTTATACTTAGCTACCGATACTATTAGTTGATTTGACAGATATTTACCACATATATGAATATTTATTTATGGCAAATTATGGCAAATTTTGGCTAATTTTAACACGTTCAGCTGTGCATTGTTAATTGCAAATCTGTTCGCGTGCTGCAAAATTTGTGGGTCTCAGGCGGTTGGACGCACGGGTATTTCAAACACTGTTAAAAACGGAACATTGTACCTTCTTTACTTGAGGGGACCTAGCAAAAACTTAGATGTTCAAGGATTCAAGATATTGAGGTTATAATACTTTGATAAAAAGTGGTTGGGACTTTCTACTTACTTAGACATATCCATAGTGTTCAACATATTAATGTTCCAGAAACCAAATTCAACTGTGCTATGAATTGGTCTTTATGTTGAGCTTACTTGATGTCAGAGACAGAAGTTCTGTTGCTGTAACAGCCCAGTGCCCTGGACTGGACCCCCCTTCCACACCCCCTGCTTGGATTGTCCAGCTCACAGCGTCCCCAGGGCTCTGTCTGCCACATGTATGTGTCACACTCAATCACTGTAGGACAATTCCCTTGTTCTCGGAGTGGGGCTTGACAGTTTACTACAAAAAGCACCAAGTAATTCATCATATTAAAGTATTTCATCATATACAAATACAAATAAGTAATTTATCACATAAAAGTAATTCATCACTAAAAGTAATTTATCACACACAAGTAATTCATTCATTTAAGTAATTTATCGCACACAAGTATAACATCACATACAAGTAATTCATGCCAAACTTAGTTGACATGTAAACTATATATAGTAACTCTTATACATGTACTGTTAAGGAAACTCAAAATTAAAGTATTCAGAGTAAAAATTGAAGCATTTGATAAATGCCACTACCAAAATCCAAAGTCTGGAAAATTTTTGAGAGGAGCAGATCAAAAACAGTGAAAGTCATTAAATCAAAAAGGATTACAACTGACTTATACAAGTATTAGAAAAAATATGGTGAGTTATAAGATATCTGTGCATATATCTTTGTCATTAAACGATAAAAAATGCATTCCTTTGTCTATCATGACTGCAATAAAAGCAATATGGTATCTCTTTAACATGCATCTTGATAGCAAACATGAAATAAAGCAGAAATCTTTTTTTCTATCAAGTAACTGGATACTTGAATGGAAATGGACCCATTAACCCAATTTGACCAATTTAACAACCCTAACAATTTTAGAACAGAATTTCCTAACTAGTTAACAAATTTTTGATCCAGAGAATTTCATCAGAACATACCACTTTGTATCCTCTCTGCAATTTTGAACACAACCTGAGATACAAGAAAACATAATTACTTTAACCACTCAGATGGATGAACCCTGACCTTGTCCTGATGCCTGAGCGAGGATGGTCCTGGTGCGTTGTTTGAGCGTGGGTCCTGGCATCATGTTGTTTTGACAAATCTTGGGACACTCTGACCAATCACTCCACTCAGATACCACACAGTCATCTTCACAGGACACCACACACTGAACTTCATTGGGTGGCTGCTCCATCAGCTCCAAGCAACTTCTGTCACTTACCCGTGTCTGTAAGAAATATGGCTTTGAGATTTAATTATATGGCTATATAAAATCTACGTAATCAAAACATTTGTTGCCATCAAATACTTATCACATTCTCAAAGATTAATACCAAACTAATTTAAGAAATTTTATACTTTAACATCATCTGACTTAACCTTGACAATGTTTAAGTGGTTTAAGGTTATGACAACTTTGGTTATGACAATATCTATAAGAAGTATGAGCTTTGTACAATCCTTCACTCAAAATGGCCTAGATATTTTGTTTTATTATGAAAAACTGTGATCTTATCCAAATGACCTTGGCCCCCTTAAGGTCATGACACACCACAGGTTATAAGCAAGCTTTATGTTAGGTTTGATCTATTAGATGAAACATTTTACACTTTTGATGACCAGGACCTTGTCCTTATCAGTTTAGCATAAGATAAGGTAACATTTGCTTTATATCAAGATGAGTTTCTAATAGTTCTCCACTGAAACCATAAAATTTTTTAAACCAAACAATGCAGCATGTTGATTGGACAGAAAAGAGAGACATAGTGATTTGCTATGCACCACAAACTTTGTATAGAAAACACTAGGGCTAGTCTCTTTTTTTTTTTTTGTTTAATACACTGATCTTTTTTTTTTACATTGATACCAAAGGGGACAATAATCATGGTATTTGAATGAATAATCTGCAGAACACTGACATTCTTACAGTAGAATCAGTAGACTTTCAGCACATTATTAGGCAGTACACTTACATTGTTACGATTGAAGCAGTAAACACTTTGGTATGCCACACCCACACCACATGGAGGTATCTGTGGTAGACATTCACCACGTGAGACCTTCCATGTGTAACAGGGTTCTGGATCACAGTTTTGAGTTTCACTCAGATGAGGACAAACTTGTCCTCCTTGAACAGGTTCAGTTCTAATCTGTCGAGTTCTGTAGCGTTGTCCTTAAAAAAAAAAAGGTAGCATCTTATACTGTTTTCTAACCATTAACTTCCAACCACTTCTATTTTCAAATCACAAATCATAATCAAATTGAGTTTTTCTTGGAAAATATTTTATTTGACAGATACAATTTAATATTAACTTAATATAATTTTTTTTTTACCAGTTTTCTTGTTGTTGCGACGTCTCCGTGCATACATTTCACAGTCGGTCACTTTACACTCAGACCACCGACTCCATACAGACACAGTACAGTCTGTCTTACACTGGGTGGGGCAGGTTTGTGAAGTCAAGGGTCGCTTGTCAGGACTACACTCCGATTCATCAACAGGGGTCTGTTTTCCATATTCTACAAAACAGAATATAGAATTTGCCATTCATTACAGATTCATCAATATTGAGATACGAATTAACTATAAAAACAGCTTCAACTGTCCATGAGAAATGTCATCAGAATGTATGTACCCATGATAATAATGCTGTGACTATTTTATACCTCTTGCATGTGCATATGCAGGAAGTATGTGAGTACTGCCATATAAGACAAGAGGCCCATGGGCCTCAATGGTCACCTGAGTATCATGAGTTTTTCAGGCTATATCCACAAAATTGAATCTGGCATACCTCTTCTACCTGAAGATGCTTCTATATAAATATGAATGTCAATGGCTCTGTTGTTCTTGAGAAGAAGACTTTTAAAGGTTTTTCCTATCAACTCCTATATTAAACCTTGATCTCCAATTGTGGCCCCACCCTACCCCCATGCTATCTATGGCTTGCTGTTCTTGAGAAGATTTTTAATATAATTCCCTACCCTATTTATTCCTATGTAAAATTTTGATCCTCCATTGTGGCTCCATCCTACCCCCAGGGGGTCTTAATTTGAACAAACAGGAATCTACACTACCTGAGGATGCTTACATATAAATATGATCATCTTTGGCTCTGCTGTTCTTGAGAAGAAGATTTTTAAAATTTTTCCTATATATATTCCTACGTAAAACTTTGATCCTCTATTGTGGCCCCCAACCTTCCCTGGGGGGTCATTATTTGAACAAACATGAATCTACACTACCTGAGGATGCTTCCATATAAATATGACCATCTATGGCTTTGCTGTTCTTGAGAAGAATTTTAAAGATTTTATTAAATATATTCTATGTAAAACTTTGATCCCCCATTATGGTCCCACCTTATTCCCTGGGGCTATGATTTGTACACACTTGAAACTAAACTATGTCAGGAAATTCTAATAAAAGTTTCATTTTTTCTGGCCAAGTGGTTCTTGGGAAGAAAATTTTTTAATGACCCCACCCTATTTTTGCCTTTTCTTTATTATCTCCCCTTGGAAGGGGGCACTGCCATTCATTTGAATAAATCTAAATCCCTTTTAGCCGAGGATACTTTGTGGCAAGTTTGATTGATATTGGTCCTGAGTGACTCAGGTGACCTAAAAATGTGTCAACTTTTGCAAAATCAAATGAATTGACGGAACAATATTCCTGACATAAACTTTTCATCAATAAATACTTCCAATGCTCACAGAAAAATTACAGTCATATCCTATAAATCAATGGCACCAAAAAAACCCCTCAAAACAAACAAATGTATCATAATTCATAAAAAAAAGAAGTTCATAAGAATGGAACATTTGATTTTCATTTTCCCAGACTTGACTTAATTATCCCTACTTCCTTGGTACATGACAGCAATTACTTTCGAAATAATCAAGTGCATCTTTGCATATATGAACAACACCCAACATCAATAGGGAAGTACCAGGATATAATTCATCATTTATCCCCCGTTTAATTCATGACAATACAGGTTTTAATCTAAAATATGGATTTTCTATTCTTACTGCCTCCAGATATCCTGACAATCATAAGACATTAAATGAGCTCCAATATATTACACAAGATTTTGTTCTACCCTCCCTGCTAACAATAAATGTTCTCAAGTTATCAACTTCATCAGCAATAATTCTGATTTATTCTACTCAAACACCTTTTTTAATGACAAAAAATATTGTACAAATGAAATGATAGGGAGGCTTAAAGAAAATCAATTTGTGCATACTAGATACACATGAAAGTCATGGGGTACTGTCGTCATTTTTAAAGAGAGGGTAATGTTGGGGAAAAAAAAATAAGTTTTAAACATTTTGGTCTCTACTGGTTTGATTGCTTGGGATATGTTGAAATGGAAAAACTATGGTTTAATACATGAAGTTTTTTGTTGGTACAGTAAAACTTGTTGAATCCGGATGTTGTGCATTCCGGCATGTTGTTCAGTCCGGCGTAATATTTCAGTCCCGTGAATTTTCTTTATAATTTATGTTTAATAAATGTTGTTCAATCCTGATCTTGCCTATTCTGTAAAATTCTATTCTGTAGCATGTCTGTAGAAAAACTTGGAAACTTATTCATAACCTCCTTTCTACTTTCGTTTTGCGTGCACGACGTGCAATTCCAATTACTTCCCTTTGTGTCGCTAGTTTACAACGACCATAGCGACAGATGATTTTGGTTCAATATTCATTCCATGTATAACATTTGAAATTAACAAACACAGTGTCTAAATATTCAAACGTGTTAATTTTAAAAGAAAGAAATTAATTAGGAATCTGTCCCTAACAAAATAATATTTACAGCTACGATGAGGTTTTGGAGTGTATTTAAAACATTTAACGATTTTCAAATTTGATAAATGACCAAGAGATATTATATTTCGATACTGAATAAAAAACTTAAACAGAAATGAAAATTCTGAAGAACAAACAGAGTTCAAAACAAACGGAAGTAGACGATTTTTTTTTCAAATGAAGCGTTAAAATGACACATTTGATCAAGTATTTATTTAACCACTCTTTGTTTATATCTATGTAATTTTTAACTTGCTATAACGGTTCAATTTTCTCCAATCCGGATGTTGTCTAATCCGGCCAAAAATTTTGGAACAACTGTTCGCCGGATTAGACAAGTTTTACTGTAAATCATTATTCACAACTGAGTTGAATGTAGATACTTACGATCAATTTGGACGCAAATGATGTGCCGTTCCTGTATTCCTGTGTTACACTGTTGATGACCCTGGATTGGTTTACACTCAGACCAGTCAGACATTATCCACTGAGTTCTGCAAAAAAAGTAACAAAACATGCATAAAAGCAAGGCGTGCACCACACGTGCACCCCTATCATTAAAGTGTTATAAAAATAATAAGGCCAGTGACCATTATCATGACCTTTCTACCACTAACCTCCATCATACCCAACCTACCACTTACCCCTATCATGACCTCTCTACCATTTATCCAATCATAAATGTGAAAAAAGATTGTAAACCATATTTAGGGAATATATGTCTTGTCATTTATTATTTGTGACTGTTAATGCTGATTTAACTGTGGCAAACTGAGTTTTACCAGCGATGCTTCAGTGGAGCCGGTAAAACGGATGTTTGCAACAGATAAATAAGCATTAATGGTTGCAAATAACAAATAAATAGCTAGGTATTCCCATTCTAATTCAATTTACGCATGCTGTTTGATGTTTACATCTTATTTTGATGAGTTTTGTTTTTTTGTTATATGAAATATGTTAACAAAAGCTTTATGCATGACATATGTTTTTGCATATTCTATTATGATGTCACAATTAAAAGCTTTTACTATCATTGAACATCAGTGTATTAGCCAATCAAAATTCCTGCTTACCTAACACAATGAGTGCACTTCCTTTAGAACTATTAAAAAATAAACAGTTACCTTGGACAGTTGACCTCCTGTGTACCTATAGAAACTCGTCACTTACCTTGGACAGTTGAGCTCCTGGCTGGACTGTATAGGTGTATACTCTTCTAGAGGACCGCAGGGTTTGCCATCCCCAAGAGGGATCTGAATCACGTCCCTTTTCTTGTAGAGGTAGCCTGACTTGACCTGTAGGTTCTCTGTCACACAGGTTTGATTTATAGTGGTCAGTCCCTGCCACGGCCCTAGTATACAGTCCTGACCAATAATGCAGGATTGTTGATATGCTATGGGTTGAAACTTTCCTGTACATTTTCTACAAACAACAATTTTGTAGTATGTAACGATTATAGAATACCATATTGGTCCTTATAATTGGAACTTAAAAGTTTGCAACAAAGACATTCTTTGATCAGTTTTAAAGTAATCATGTAATGCAATTTAATTTACATACGATAATTCTTCTTTCTGACCCCGAATGTTGTAACAATCGAAGAAGCGTTCTTGATTTCCAATATGAGGATTATATGGAATGCGTGTGTTGAAAGAATCTGAAAATGCTTGACAGGATGTCCATGGAGTAAATGATAGGAAATATTTATCTGTACAGTTGCTGCAAGGAGACATTTCGGAAAATGCAGGGCACGGCTTGCCCCCGCTGTTGTTTGGCACTATGATACTTCTAGTCCTACTCCTATTTAGAGACTGACACTCATCACAGGAACTCCATTTGGAGAATTCCCCCACCACACAGTTTTGAGGACAATTGTACTCACAGGGCTGTCTTGTAGGTGGTTTATTCTGCATGAAAGATGCACACACTGAATCCTCTGTCCTTTCTCCAGTACTTGTGTAAGCACAATAAACTACCCGCGTTTGAAAACCGAGATTTCTTGCACATTCTTCCTCTTGGGAATCAACCTGACACTCGGACCACATTCCTGTCACCCATTTCACTTGGTAATCACCAATGGGGTCACACATTTTGTAACAGGACTGTACTTTGTAAGGTTCGTATCCTGCGTCCTTACAGAGGTGGTCAGGGACCACACGTACAGTAGGGTACAATTGTTCACACCACACGTTACGATGCTGGTTGCCTCCAGCTCCACAACCATATTGCTTCTCACACTCTGACCAATTATCTATTAAAACCATAAGAAAAATATAGAAATCATATAAACTATGTCTTGAATTTTAAGTTACAGGTTAAGAAAAATGACTTTTATATTTAAAAGAGTTGTTTCCCTTTGTAGGGTCAATCTGGGTTCAACCCATGTAAGGTACTGCTTACTTCTATACTATATCAACTACAGTCAAACCTCACTGTCTCAGATTTGATGAAAAAACCTTCAAAATATTCGAGAAGGTAAAAACATATGGAGAACAAGAAAAGTTACAAATGATACAGTGAGAAAAATGTTTGTTACACCGATTAAGGGAAATAACTTTTAATAATGTGAAAGTCATTTATTAGGCCAATATTTCCCTATTGATAGTATAGTTTTAATGGATGCCTGTTTTCACTGCGAGACAAAACCATTTACTTGTCACTTTTATTCAAAAAATATATTTAAAACAGCAAATTGAAAATAGAATGAAAACTAATTATTTGAGAACATACATCAAAAAGAAGGTAACATGATTGAGATAAATGTAAGTTTATAATCCCCCCTCCTTAAATGTATTTTAATTTTTTTTTTCAAGCCAAATTTCAAAATTTTAACATATGCACTTTAAGTTATTTTAGTTAAAACCTTATAATATTAATACTTTTTATCTTCAAAATACACTCTATATTTTCAGAAGACTCCCATTTCTTTAAAAGAAATGATTTACAAGCTTAATTTTCTCTTGTTTTATAACATATCCTGCTAACAAGTTTATGTTAAAGCATTTCATAAGATTCAAGCAATAAAATTCCTCACAAATGAGTGCCTCTCAAATATCTTTACAAAATAAAAATGCTATAAAACTCAACTTCATTGCAATAGTATACATGATATATCTATGAGTCTGTTGCTGGATTTTTTGCTATCCTGGTAATCCAACTGTCTTTGATTTAATACAGTGTGTACGGAATAAACTCAGAGGGGTTTATCACAATCAAAGTGATGCCCATCTTCATTCATTGATTAGATTCTCTCAGTTCCTATGTCATTCTGCCTCCCTTGCCAAGTTATATACACATTATATTCAGCATCACCTGAGCTATATATCTGACAGTTTAAACTTAATCTTGATGTGTGGTATACTCACACTCAAAAAGATTTAAAGACTTAAGAAAGAATTTATTTATCTGTAATGTATTAAAAACTGAATTGAAATGTACTCATACTTAATTCATTGTACTCAGGAAATTGATGTTAATACAAATATGTCCCAATACCAATTTATCTGAATTACTATTTATACAAACTTATACTAGTCTAGTAAGTAATAGAATGTATTGGCTCCTGGCACTCATTGTGTCAAAATTGACTCAAAACACAAAAAAGTAAAGATTAAGATGATTAAGATATTTGAAAAATGTTATGTTTTACTCTATTCAGGTTTGTTGTCTGACTGTTTATAATGTCATTGAAAAGCTGATAATGGGATTAAATAAATTTTACAAAAAGGTAAAAAATTGCAACAGAGAAGTATTGATAGATTTTGCAGCGGATGTAGCTATGTTACATATTCATTATTACTTCCTAAATCTTATCAACCATTCATCAGAACTGGGATTTAATGTCATGAAAGCAGTTACCTTATGTAAGCTGGCAAAACAAAAAACAAAAAAAAACAAAAAAAAACAAAAAAAAAACAAAAAAAAAAAAAAAAAGACTTGATTTACATGGCAATGTTCTTTTTTTAGTTTTGTGTAGCTTATTATTTTCATCAAGACTCCTCCCCCCTTCACCTCAAAACTAAATGTAATGATTGTTGATTCAACCTTGATTATCAAGTAGCAGTATTTATTACAAATTAAAAAGATTAAGTTCTTTTGTTTTTTCCCATAAAAAAGGAAAGTTTCCAATTACAATAGTATAAAGTTTCATGTATAATATGCATTTTTCATGTAATTTTAGAATCGATGTAGAGCAGCAAAACTTATGGAGCTCTTCACTTCCCTCCCACTATCTATTGGAATTTAATTTATCAGATATCAATCCTTTGATCTTATCCTTTAGTGACAATAAAATCCATACCTGTCCTCCATCTATACTGGCCATTGGCAGAGTTTGTCACTGTGACTAGGAATGATAGCAACAGAGAGGAATGTATAATCAGTGATGTCATTTGTGGCTTTCCATAGCCCATCTCCTGGGTCTATAACATTGGGGGGTTTCCAATCAAACCGGATACCAGTCAAGCAGCATCATAGATCACAACCTACCAAAAGAAACAGTCTCAAAATTACAGGTACTCCTATGCTACCAAGAGAAATGGATCTCTTACCAAACATTAGATCATAAAGCTGTAATTTTAAAATCTCAAACTTCTGGTGGACCTCACTGTTTGAGATACTGAACTTCAACTGCATATATTATACACTTGGTGTATTAGCTTAAGCATAGGCACACAAAAAATATATGAAAGGTCAACTGCATGCTTTTTATTATTGATCGCTGAGTAGTGTAGATATAAAAAAAATATAATCATGCAAAAAAAAGTATTACTGAAAGAACATTGGCATTGGAATTTTCTGAATAACTGACCAATGAGATTACACAGTCCTGCCCACACAGTGACCAGTCATGGTCTGGTATATCTCACCATATCACAGAAACTAAGCTGTTAAGAGCAATCCCCAACATCACTAATCCCATCTGAACTAACAACAAGCCCAGGTATGCCACAACGTAATGAAACAGTTCTCTGGCTTAATTGCAAAATCAAGACAGCACTGAGGATTCCCAAAGTTGTCCAAATACTTTTGGAAGTCACTGACTCTTTGTAGAGGATGTCATAATCAGGTTCCACTGATAAAATATTGCCAATGATTACCGACTTCCATCTATACTATTTTAACTAGCACATTGGTACATCTTTTTTTTTATTTCAAAAAATACCTCATAGAAAGATACTGTTAATATATATACACTACCTTTGTGCTCCAAACATCATTGAGAATTAAAAAAAACAGTGAATTTGTTAAAAGATCAAAAATACATATGTGTAAATTTATACATGTATTTAATATTTGCATGACATCAAACACTTGGGATAAGGTACAAGAGGAAAAAAAAGAAGCCTTAATAACACACATTTGTGTATTTAAGCCCCATGTACAGAAGAAGTGATAATTATTTTTCTATGCAAAATTCTTTAAATATGATGCATTCAGTTTTGTAATTCCACATGCAACTCCCTATGTAGATCCACCTTTCAAACTTCTGAATGAAAAATGAGCCACTATGCTTTGATGCCCCCTCATCACTCCCAGTTCCCTGTCAAGGACGGACTTACTATGCAGAGAAATATTCCTTGCAAGTCTTATTTCAAACTTATGGTAGGATTCCTTGGGAGAAAGACAGGACACAGATTGAGAAAATAAAAAAAAAAATAGCAGTCTAATCAACTAAACATTACCAGATGATTTCTTTCCAACATCATGAAAATACTTTTCTTCATCAAGAAAAAACGCAGCCATATCATAGGATTAGGGTCTCTCATTGACACATTTGTTTGATTTGTGTAATTTCAATTAATATGATTTACAGCCATCCCATATTGATGTAATTCACACAGTGTTTTCGATGGGAGAGAACAAATCTATGAAATAAAAAACCAACAAATTGTGTAAATGCTTCCATATGACTGGCAAACTGACGCAACAGTAAAAAAAATCCAATGGTTGTGTTATTGCAACAAAGGTTCTTAATTGCGATCATGCTGGCAGACACTACCTTCTGCACTGAAGAAATACACTATATATATCAATAAGATTAGTACTGCTTAATTAACAATGAACAATACAGAGCACAAACACAGTCACCTTTTAATACATATGTATGTGCTTGCAATATATCTGCATGTTTTGTCAACAGATATATGCACCCTTATGAGAGAACAATACCCAAAGACTTGATTCTGACAGATTTCTGTACATTCTTTATGATAAAAATGTATTTCCCTGTTTTCATATAGGGAGTGCAAGTTTTTGTCAAGCTTTAATGTTAGAGAGTTTTGCAATACATATATAAGCAAAACAGAAATAATCCAAGTGACTAGCTTTTTTCCGAAAAGTAATTATCTTCTGAAAGGCCTATGAAAAAAATATGCTTGTTTACAGCATCATCTCAAGCCATGGTCCGGAGTCCGCATATAGCTCTCTCCTACCCGTGGCTGCTTGATCACAAAAAGAGTCGTAATCTTGAATATTTATGCCTCTATATTGTGATGTCATGTTCACCCAATGACAATATTTGTTTCCATCGCAATTGAAATCAACAATTGACATCAACAGTATACAAGAAATGTTTCGCATACTGCGATTGGGTATTGAAAGGTCGTGTTGAAGTTCATTATCCGACTAATATGCTTTACTTGCGATGGTCAAGATTTTAATGACCTATGAAATATTCTCTTATTCAACAAACATAATTTTTTCTTAAGCCTAATCTGACTGCATTCATAATTTTTAAACAATTTTGTTTAATTTTGTTAAGTGATTACATAGAAAATCAAGGATTTTCCTATCATTTATCAGGTCTACAAAATAATAATTCAAAGATTCATATCTCACTCATTTATTTCACAAGAACAAATGAAAATCTCCAAAAAATTGGTCAAATCATGTATCAGCTGCTTCTATCATAGCTGGGAATATTTATTCCAAGATACAAATATTTCTTCATTCGACTGGTAAAAAACATCAATTAATTTATTTGCCTTTATCAGTCCCACTGTTCATGTGATAAAAAAAAACATATCAAACAAATCACATTATTTAATCAATAAGCATAACACACTGAGATAAATATCAGACAGGATCTCACACAAGCCTGTAAATATCTTCATGATTATCACATACTAAAAAATTCAAATATAATATTATCTGAATCTTTAAACCTCACACATTACAACTCAGTCTGCTTATACTCAGGATGTCCAAGGAAATTCTTCCATCCCAATAAACATAAAGATTCCGAAGAAATTACATGCAGAACAGATTAGATATGCATGACTATATACCATCATGTTTGGACCTATTACTGATAATGTTCCATTAATGGCCATCTTGATAAATATCAAGGAACCAATATCTGATACAATTATGTCTGTATCTGCATACCACATCTGAGACATGTAGAAATGACCAAAAAATGAAGCAACTGCTAAAACGTGATATCTTAATCGATTAGTTGATGGTTACAGGCTTATTAGATAACCATCAATCAAATTGTTGTCTTTTATTGGGGATTAACAGGTGATGATGGTTTGCTTGTAGGGAGATATATTCTCTGTGGAAAAACATATTAAGACTTTGGTAAACATCTTGCAACCAATGATTATTCTCTTGGGAGTCCTGCTCAGTGAGAATAAAGAAAACACAGGACCCACAATGGAGAATTATTACTGCAAGAATTATCAACAGGGGGACACCAGTAAGCATTTAGGAGAAAATTTGATTATCTTCTAGAGAAAGAATGAAGAATCCATAAATAATTTTCTACTTGAGCACAATATTTTTTATGCCTCTTTAATATTGCTATGAGTTCTTTTTGAGATTATGAGCTTTCTTCCTTCATTCCAACCTCCCCAATGGCATTTGTAATTGCCTGACCAGCATTTTCAAGGATCAACATTTCATATAAGCAACATATGTATTAATTGGTCAGTTAAGTCTTTTATCCAAATTGTCTGTTGTTAATCAAAGATTTCAACAAAAACAATTCCAAATCACAAAGCCATGCAGTCAGTGGATGATCTGTTATATCTGGTCAAGTATTTACCAGTACATGCTCTTTCCACCTCTGCTCAAAATCATCAGCAGTTATTTTTAGTGAAAGATAAGCTCTTTCAATAAATCACTTGACCATGAGTATCATGGGAGGTTACTCCTACCTAAAAAAAAGGTCATATGTACAATATCAGGGATCACTTAGAGCAGGAATCATTGTACTGCCAGATAAGACCAACAAGCACTGGGTACCACCTTCTCAGGTTCACAGGCATTCAGTTCATTGCAGACTCCAGAAGGTATTGCTAGGTAATTATTGTGCTGCATAACTTGGAGAAAACTATGGGTTATCCAAATCATATCACACAGTGCCATACCAGATTCCCCCCTCTCTGGTTATTCAGGGAATATACTCAATGAAATTCCTAGAATCAAAATATCACTTTGATTGCTCATAACTATTTAAAGAAAGGATTTGGAATCAATTTATGCATATCCTAGTGTTTTTTAATTGCTTTCTGGTATTAACTTTACTGTAAATGCACTTCATCTTTCAGTTGAGAGAATATTGCCTTCAAAACCTCAGATTTACTCCATATGCAAGAAGATGATGAATTTCACATGTCAGAAACATGCAAACATATTGACTTCTATTGATAAACACGAGAAAAAGGCTGGTTAGACAACAGAACAAATGTTGCAGCATGTTACTACCAGATCCATCAATGCTATACTAAAGGCAACCTGGCCAATATTCCTGCTATCCTTGAAATATCACTCTTGCACATGAACACAGCACAGACACACACACAAAGGTCAAATCACCCCAATGTCACATGGAAAAAATCCATTATTTTTTGACAGGGCTCAATTTGTTTTTAACAATTACCAATCAAATCATCAGCCAGAATGTAATTTATACCACCAATCAAGGTGCAATTTGTGCTATCAATCGCTAAGTATTTTACATGTAGCCACATTGCTGTTTACACAGTAAGTATGACATATTAAAACAGTCAGTATACTGTAAGAAACTCAGTGACTTTGACATTCTGTTACTACTAAACACAATGCTATTTTCAAAGAAAATGAACTTTGCCATTCATCGTGTCAATGGCTAAATCATTTGCCTTACCATTTAATATGATACATTCAAGGATCAAGCACAATGCTATAGCTACTAGTCCCTATGCCACTAACATGATGCCATTAACACCCATTAACTTAATACTATCAATCATTATGCTAAACTATATCACCAGTTCACTTTGCCACATTTCATCATTGCTATGCCATTTTACCACCAACCACACCACTAATCATCACTTTGCCACATTTAATCATTGCTATACCATTTTACCACCAACCACACCACCAATCATCACTTTGCCACATTTAATCATTGCTATACCATTTACCACCAACCACACCACCAATCATCACTTTGCCACATTTAATCATTGCTATACCATTTACCACCAACCAC